GTCCTCCTCGTTCTCGTCCACGTCCTCGTCCTCCTCCTCTCTTCCTCCTCCTTCCACTCCGGCGCCCCCCCCTCCTCCCTTCGAGCCCCTCCCCCGCCCCCTCCTCGAAAAAAGTCCGCCGCTCCATTGCCCCCCTGCTCCTCTCCCGTCCTCGTCTTCCACTCTTCCTCCTCTCTTCCTCCTCTTCAGAGACGATCGAAACTTTCAAAGCTTCTCAAAGAGTTACCGGGGAATGTCCGATTTTCCCGGGGTACGTCCGATTTTACCGGGAAAAGTCTTTTTCTCCCTGCTGGTCGTGGATGAAGTGCACGGGTTCGCCCTAGTCTCTCCTACATGGCCAGTGGAAGCGCGTGCGAGACTTATTCAGGGCCTCGTGTGCACAAAATCGCCCCTTTATGGCGCCACCACGGGGCCGAATCGCTCAGGCGGGTCCCAGAGGCGTTCCATAGGAGTTCCCAGACCGTCCAGGAGCGCTCCAAGACGGCCTCAGTGGGTCCCGAGACGGCCCACGAGGGCCCGAAGCCTTCCCGGGGGGGCTCCACGACGATCCAAGAGGCCGCAAAGACGCCCCAAGAGGGCCCGAGCGCACGCCAAAGAGGCAACAAATCGTCAAATTACCATGGGAAAACGTATAGTTTCAGCATGCCCGCCTTGTGTGCTCCTCAGCGGCCCAGGACACGCCAAGAGGCCCCCCAACTCGCCTCAAGAAGACGCCAGCGGCACCTAAGAGGTCTCCAAGACGGCCCACAAGAGCCCCAAGACAACGCCAGAGAGCTTTGAAACGGCTTCACAGAACCCCAAGACGGCCCCAAGAGCTCCGAGGGGGCCCCAAGAGGCTCCCAAGACGGCCTCAGGCAGCCTCAAGAGAACTCCAAAACTGTCCAAGGCCTCCCGGGCGCCCCGTGACGGCCCAAAATGGCCCCAAGACGTCCCGAAAACGCTCCCAGAGCAGCCCAAAAAAGCTTCAGAATGGTGCGAACAATACCCCCGCAAGGACCACGAAGCAGGCCCAGAGACGCCCATTAAAGAGCGATCGGTGAAGTACAAAGCCCCAGAGGGCTTCTAGACGGCCCCCAGACGGCCTAAGACGGCCCCAGACGGCCCCGAGAGGCACCCAAGGCGGCCCAAGAGGGCCCCAAGATGACCCCAGGAGGCCGCAAGACGGCCCAACAGGGCCCCAAGAGGCCCCCAGGAGGCCGAAAAGGAACCCCGAGAGGCCCCCAAACAGTTCCCAAGCAGAAGGCAGCGCACGCTATCAGGCTTCGAAAAAGGCAATCGGAAAAGAGTCACCAGAGCCCTTCGGGTGACTTTTTTCTCGGCCACAGGTGCTCTCAAAATGGTTCAAACCAGGGGGAGCAGACAAGCGGCGGGAGGCACACTGCAGACCCACCGTAGCCGTCTGTGATGCTCCGAAGGCTGTCCAGGCGGACGTGGAGCGGAAGGCGGACGAAGAGCAGGAAGCGCCCGCCTTCCAATTTCGGAATGGCGGCCGGAAAAAGTAACCGAAGGCTTCGGGCTGGCCTTCTCTTGGGCGGGGGCCCAACGTGGAGGCCCGCCAGGGGGACCTGCTGGTCGAGGACGGAGTCCACGGGTCAGCCCTAGTTTATACTATATGGCCGGAGGAACCGCGTGCCGGAAACGGCTCCGAGACGCTCCGGAGGCCGCCCCGATGGCCCAAAGACGGCTCCGAGCCGCTCAAAGACGGCTCCGACCCGCTCAAGATGCCCCGAAGGCGGCCCAAGAGGGCCCCGAGACGCGCAATAATCCGGCCAAGACGCCCGAGATTGGCCCAACACGGCCCAGGCCTCCCAAGAGGCCTCCCAAGAGAGCCCCGAGAGGCCAAAATCGTTGATTTTCATTTGTTTTTCTGAAGTTTTTTGCTTCCTCGCTTTTTCGGCTTCCCGACGCTCCGAACCCCCCCCAGAGGCATCCAAGACCGCTCCAAGACGGTCCACGAGGTCCCCAAGAGGACCCCAAGACGGTCCAAGAGGGCCCCAAGACGGTCCAAGGCGGCCCCAGGACGGCCCCAGAGGCGCCCAAGACAGGCCAACGGGACCCCAAGATGGCCCGAAGAGCGGCCCAAGATGGCTCCAAGACGGCCCGAGGACCGCCCAAGAAGGCCCTCGGGGGCCCCAAGACAGCCCAAGGGGCGCGATAGACGAGCCCAGGGAGGCCCAAGAGGCCCCCAGGAGCCCAAAAGAGGTCCCCGAGAGGTGCCACGGGGGCGGACGAGGGGACCGCCTCAGGAGGTTTTGGACGGTTCTGGGCCTCAAAATCATCCGCTTTACGACGGTTTTGGAAGGATTTTGGCCTTCTCGCTTTTTCCGCTTTCCGACGCTCGAAGACGGCCCAAGAGGCTTCCAAGAGCACCCCAGAACGGCCCAAGAGGTTTCCAAGAGCGCCCCAAGACAGCCCAAGAGGGCCCCAAGACGACCCAAGAGACGCTCAAGACGGCCCACGAGGGCCCGAAGACAGGCCCAAGAGGGGGCCAAGAGGGGGACCACGGACCGAAAATCCGAGCATTCCGCCCCAAGAGGGCGCCAGGAGGCCCAAACAGGCCCCCAGGAGGCTCCCAAGGAGCCCAGACGAGACCCCAACAGAGGCCCCAACAGCTTCCAAAATGGCCCCAAATAGGCCTCGAGCCCGCCTCCGAGCTTCCTCGCCGCGAGGGTGCCAACACGGCCCCAGACGGGCCCAGGACGGCCCAAGGCGCGCTCAAGACGGCCCAAGACGATTCCAAGACGGTCCCAGGAGGGTGCGCCCAGGACGGCCCAAGGACGCGCCCGGTCGGGGCCTCAAGACGGGCCAAGATGGCAAGAGAGCCCCAGCTGGCAAAAATCGTTAATTTTCCATTGTTTACTGTTACACCCTTTGCGTTTCCCGCCGTTTCGGCGGTCCGATGCACCAAGAGGCCCCAGAAAGTCCCAGGAGGGTCCGAGGAAACGCCCAGGAAGGCCCCAAGACGGGCCAAAACGGACCCAGCACAACCCAAGGCGCGCTGCGACGGCTCAAGACGGCTCCAAGACAGCCCCAAGAGGGTGCCAACACGGCCCCTGCTGGGCCCAGGACGGCCCAAGGAGGCGCACAGGAGGGGCCCAAGACGACTCCAAGGCGGCCCCCTCACGGTCCCAGACGGCTCCAAGACAGCCCCACGAGGACCCCGATGGGCCCAGGACGGCCTACGGACGGCCCATGAGGGGCCCACGACGAACCAAGACGGCCCCATCACGGCACACGGTGCCCTCAAGACGGGCCTGGACGGCTCCAAGACGGCCCTTTGAGGGAGCCAACGCGGCCCCCCACACCCTTCGGGCGCACACTTGGGGGGGCTGGGAGCTTGCGACAAGTCTCCCACATTCATTGTCCTGCCCCATTCTGTTCGCCTGGAGGCCTCCTCCAAAACGTGGGCGAACAAGAGGAAACCCAGCGGGCCGCTAACCCTGGGGCCCGTGGGCCCCGCGCCGCTTGGGCAGAAGACGAACGCCGGGTCTGACAGGCCAGCTACCGCCCCCCTTTGCCCGATATGCTGTGCCATTCTGTTCCCCCAGGGGCCTTGGCGAACTCTTCGGGCCAAGCAGACCGGACCCCTGGGACAGCAGCCAATGGATATGAGTCATATCAATTGGCTGTCATATCATATGACCCTGGGACCTCTCCGCATTCTTCGGACGAGCACCTGGGGGGCCCAGGAGATTCGGGCAAGTCTTCCCCATTCCTTGCCCTGTCCCGTTCTGTTCGCCCGAAGGCCTCCACAGACCCTCTGGGCGAACAGAATGGGACATGGCGAACAAACCCTCCCGTTGGCGGTGATGCGACTGGATCGCACCATCAAGGCGCGCCCGGAGGTGATGGCCGACCCAACAGCGGTTTCTCTAAAGATTTTACAGAATTTCCCATTTTCTTGAAGCTCTCTTGTGCCCTCCCTGTAGATCCTTGCGAGCCTCCCCGGCGCTTTCGGTGGCTTTCCCCGATGGCCTCCCGAGCCCTTCCCCGAGCGCTCCTGAGACGCCTCAGATGGGCTTCGACTTCGACGCACATCCCCGAGAGACTTCGAAACTGTCCTCAATAGGAGGGGGGTGAACGAGCAGTGCGCTGGGCCAAGCTGCTGCAGCGCTGCAAGAGCTCGGACACGAAGGCGCGGTCTCGCTGCCGCCGCCCGAGCCGCCGCCGTGTTTGTAGATTTTCGGTGCAATCTGCGCCGTTCCTCCGAGAACCATTCCAGAAAGATGTCGTGGACGGAGTCCACGGGTCAGCCCTAGTCAGCTACAACGCTGGAGTCAGCGCGTGTGAGAAGGGCCAGCAGTGGAACCAGGCTTTGGCGCTGCTCAGCGAGATGTGGGAGGTGAAGCTGAAACCCAGCGTCATCAGCTACAACGCTGGGATCAGCGCGTGTGAGAAGGGCCAGCAGTGGCACTGGGCTGTGGTGCTGCTCACCCAGATGCGGGAGGCGAAGCTGGAGCCCGACGTCATCAGCTACAGCGCTGGGATTAGCGCGTGTGGGAAGGGCGAGCAGTGGAACCAGGCTTTGGCGCTGCTCAGCGAGATGTGGGAGGTGAAGCTGAAACCCAGCGTCATCAGCTACAACGCTGGGATCAGCGCGTGTGAGAAGGGCCAGCAGTGGCACTGGGCTGTGGTGCTGCTCACCCAGATGCGGGAGGCGAAGCTGGAGCCCGACGTCATCAGCTACAGCGCTGGGATTAGCGCGTGTGGGAAGGGCGAGCAGTGGAACCAGGCTTTGGCGCTGCTCAGCGAGATGTGGGAGGTGAAGCTGAAACCCAGCGTCATCAGCTACAACGCTGGGATCAGCGCGTGTGAGAAGGGCCAGCAGTGGCACTGGGCTGTGGTGCTGCTCACCCAGATGCGGGAGGCGAAGCTGGAGCCCGACGTCATCAGCTACAGCGCTGGGATTAGCGCGTGTGGGAAGGGCGAGCAGTGGCAGTGGGCTTTGGCGCTGTTCAGTGACATGTCGGAGGCGAAGCTGGAGCCCAACATCATCTACCATAGAATCCCTGGGCCAGCGCGTGCGAACACCGCCAGGAGTGACATTTCTTCGGGAGCAGACCCGGGGGCCCTAGAGGCCTGCTGGGCGCCTGGCGCCGCGGAGGGCCCCTCCTGGACGGCCCGAGAGGGCCCGAGATGGCCTCCAAACCGCCTCGAAGGGGCCCCCAAGACGCGGCCTTCCGCGCGGCGGACGGCTTCTGAGACTGAGAGGGCCCAAGACGGCCTCCAAGACCGCCCCAGAGGGTCCGAGGGACCCCAAGTTCGCCCCAGCTGCCTCCAACACTGACCATGATGGCCCCGAGGCGGCCTAATGCCACGAGACTGCCCCGGAGGCCTCCGAGTCAGTCCAAGAAGTCTCCAAGAGCTCTTCCAGGAGGGGCCGAGGAGACCCAAATCACAGATTTTCAAAAGGCTTTCGAAGCATTTCAGCTTTCTCGCCTCTTCACGCCTCCGACGGCCCACGACAGCCCCAGAGGCCTCCAAGATCGCCCTCACCTACAGCGATGCGATCAGGGTGTGCGAGAAGGGCGAGCAGTGGCAGCGGGCTCTGGCGCTGCTGCTCAGTGATATGGCATCTCTCTCGCAATGCAGGATCCCTTGCGTGCGCGAAGTGCTTAGGGACCGACTTGGCTCCCTAAGCTATCTTTGATGAGCAGCTCGCTGGCAGATTTGCCCCACGTGTGCGCACTAGTCAGCTGCAACGCTGGGATCAGCGCGTGTGAGAAGGGCCAGCAGTGGCACTGGGCTGTAGTACTGCTCAGCCAGATGCGGGAGGCGAAGCTGGAGCCCGACGTCATCTCTCCCACATGGCCGGGTGAAGCGCGCCCCAGAAGGGCGCTGACCCAAAAGTACCACATTCGTCTTCGCTGGCCTCGGCGCTGTCCTGGGCGGTCCTAGGACGCCCCAAGACGCCTCCAGAGAGCCCCCAGATGACCCCAAGATAGCCCGAGACGCCTCCACAGACGCTCCACGAGGCAGCCAACTGGTTTTTCACGGATTTTGGTGGCGATCTCGCTTTTTCGGCCTTCCGACGCTCCAAGATGGCCCAAGAGGACCCGAAGGTCGCCCCAAGACGGCCCAACATGCTGTCAAGAGGACCCCCAGACGGTCCAAGAGAACCCTAAGACGGCCCGAGATATGCCCAAGACGGCCCAAGAGGGCCCCAAGAGGGATCAAGAGGGGGAACTCGAACAGACATTTCGCGCCCTCCGCCCCAAGCATGTCCCCGACACCGCCATCAGGCCCCCAAGAGGCCCCCCGGACGCCCCAGGAGGCCTCCAAGAGGTCCACATCAGGCCCCCAAGAGGCCCCCTAAGAGGTCCCCTAAGAGAGCACAGAACTGCCCCGAGACATCCCCAAACCGCCTCGAAGAGGCTTCCGAGGGAAGCTCCCTTGCCGCGTCGGCCACCCAAGAGAGCCCCAGGAAGGACCGAAAAGGAGACCATAGGTTCGGCCACGCGCGCCGAGGCCACTGAGACATGCTCGTGCTGGCCTCTTCTCACGCTCTCCTTCGCGCTCCTTGCTCCTCGCTCCACGCTCCTCGCTCCTTCCCGCTCCCTCCTCGCCCCTCGCCTCCCTCTCCTCGCTCCGTCTTCTCACTCCTTCTCGCTCCTTCCAACTCTTTCCTGGCCCCTCGCTTCTCCCTCCTGTCTCGTTACTGGCGTCTGTGCCCCCCCTCCTCCTTGGCTCTCTCTCATCTCTCCTCGCCTCTCTCTCTCTCCTCGGCCGTGCTCCTCGCTGATTGCTCTTCGCTTCCTCAAACTCCCCCCTCGACCTTGACTCTTCGCTCCTTGCTCCTCGCTCCTCGCTCCACTCACCAGCTGCAGGTTGCGCCATCTCGCAAGGGTACCAAGAAGCAGCACTCTACAGCCTCAAGCAGCAACAACGAACACCAGCATCCCGCAGCAGGCAATGGCAGCACAGCGCACGTAAGCAGCAGCAGGAACATGTCGCAGGCAGCAGCACCCTGCATCTGCGGGCAGCAATACCAGAGACACATTTGGGGCCCAACGATATCACGAAAGCCTTTTGGCAACATCTCTGCCCTGGTCCAACGTGCAATATCGGACAGAATTCGTAGTCCGTAGGCCACGGGTTTAGCCCTAGTTAGCTACAGCGCTGGGATCAGCGCGTGTGCGAAGGGGAAGCATTGGCACGTGGCGTTGGCGCTGTTCAGCGAGATGTTGGAGGCGAAGCTGGAGCCCAACGTCATCAGCTACAACACTGCTATTAGCTCGTTTGAGAAGGGCGATCAGTGGCACTGGGCTTTGGTGCTGCTCAGCGAGATTTGGGAGGCAAGGCTGGAGCCCGACGTCATTAGTTACAACGCTGGGATCAGTGCGTGCGAGAAGGGCAAGCAATGGTACCGGGCTTTGGTGTTGCTTAGCCAGATGTGAGCGGTGCATGTCGTCAACAGTAGTCCCCGGGTCGGCCCCAGTCATCTACACTACAACGCAGACGGCGCCGCTTGCGGGAAGGGCGGGGTACCCCATGACCCAAAATCGTGCCAGCCAGCTCGGGCGCGCTCCCTGGCGGCCCCCAGGACGCCCCAGGACGTATCAGGAGGGCCGCAGGGTAACCCCGAGACGGGACGGTGGCCCCAAGAAGGCCTCATATGGCTTCAAACGGCTTCCAGACGCTCGGGAGGTCCCAAGGCCGCCCGAGAGGCCGCCAAGAAGTCCGCAGAGGTTTCGAAGAAGGCTTCCAAGAGGACCCCAAGAAGTAAAACTTGTCCAAATCCTTCCAGAACGCGTGCATTTTCAGCATTCTTGCGTTTCTTGCACGCACGCACGCACGCACGTACGCACGCACGCACGCACGAACGCGCGCGCACGCACGCATGCACGCACACACGCACGCACTCACGCACGAACGTACACGCCAACGCACACGCGCACGCACGCGCACGCGCACGCGCTCGCGCACGCACGCACGCGTGGACACACGCACGCACGCACGCATACGCACACGCACACGCGCACGCACACGCGCACGCACGCGAACGCGCACGCGAACGCGCACGCGTACGCGCACGCGCACGCGCACGCGCACGCGCACGCACGCGCACGCACGCACGCGCACACACGCGCACGCACACACACACACACGCACACGCACGTACACGCACGCACACGCACGCACACGCACGCACACGCATGCGCACGCACACCACACGCACGCACGCACACGCACGCACACGCACGCACATGCACGCACACAGGCACACGCGCACGCGCACGCACGCACGCACACGGACGCACACGCACGCATGCACGCACACGCACGCACGCGCACGCACACGCACGCACACGCACGCAAACGCACGAACGCGCACGCACACGCACGCACGCGCACGCGCACGCACGCACGGACACGCACGCGCATGCACGTCCTCACTCACGCACACACACACACGCACACATTCACTCACCAACCCACTCACCCACACCCATACCCATCCCCCCACACACACACGCACATCCACACACACACACACCCACACACCCACACACACACCCCCACACACCCCCCCCCCCACACGCCCCCCCCCCCCACACACACACACATCCACACACCCACGCACACACACACGCACGCACGCACCCACGCACGCACACACACAGCACACAACACACAACACACAACACACACCACACACCACACAACACACAACACACAACACACAACACAACACACAACACACAACACAACACACAACACACAACACACAAGCACACACCACACAACACACACCACACAACGCACAACAAACAACACACACACCACACACTATACACCACACAACACGCAGCACACAACACACACACCACACACACCATACAACACACAACACACAACACACACCACATAACACACACCACACAACACACAACACACAATGCGCAACACGCAACACACAGTACACAACACACACTATACAACACACAGCACACAGCACACACCACTCAACACACAACACACAACCCACATCACAAAACACACAACACACGACACACAACACACAAAACACAACACACACCACACAACACAACACGCACATCACACAACACACAACACATTACACACAACACACAACATACAACACTCAACACACTACACACAACACATACCACAGCATACATAACACACACCAACCACACCACTCAATACACAACACACACACCCACACCCACACCCACACACACACCCACACACACCCACACTCACTCACACACACCCACATACACGCACACACACACACCCATACACACCCACATACACCCACGTGCCCACACACACCCATCCACCCACACACACACACACCCACACCCACACCCACACACCCACAGCCACACCCATACACCCACACACCCACGTACCCACGTTCCCACGCACCCACGCACGCACGCACGCACGCACGCACGCACGCACGCACACTTGCGCGCACGCACCCACGCACGCACGCGCGCGCACGCACGCACGCACGCACAACGCACGCACGCATGCACGCACGCACGCACACTTGCTCGCACGCACGCGCGCACGCACGCGCACGCACGCACGCGCGCACGCACACACGCACGCACGCACGCAAGCACGCACGCACGCACGCACGCAGGCATGCACGCACGCACGCACGCGCGCTCGCCCGCCCGCCCGCCCGCCCGATCGCCCCCACAGGACCCCAAACAGGCTTTCAAGAGGGCCCCAAGAAGCACAACTCGTCCAAATCCTTCCGAAATGCGTGCGTTTTAAGCATTCTCGCGTTTCTTGCACGCACGCACGCGCGCACGCACGCACGCACACACGCACGCGCGCACGCACTCACGCACGCACGCGCGCGCGCACGCATGCACGCACGCACGCACTCACGCATGCGTGTACGCGCACGCACGCACGCACGCGCAAACGCACGCATGCACGCACGCGCTCACGCGAGCACGCACGCGCGCAGGCACGCATGCACGCACGCACGCACTCCTGCACGCATGCACACACGAACACACACACACGCACACAAACAACCACACACAAACATACACACCAACAAACACAAACGCACCCACGCACACACAGCGCACAACACACAACACACAACACACACACCACAGAACACACAACCACACACAAGCACACACACTCACAAGCATACACACACCTACAAACACACAACACACAACACACAACACACACACACACCACACCACACAACGCACACCACACACCACACAACACACATCATAACGCACAACACATAACAGACAACACGCAACGCACAACACACACCACACAACAGACAACGCACAACACGCAGACACACAACACGCAGTGCACAACACACACAACCCACACCAGCGTACACACCACACAACACATAACACATACCACACAACACACAAGACACAACACACAACATGCAACACACAACACACTAACCACACCACACAGCACACAGCACACAGCACATAACACATACCACATGCCACACAATACACAACACACAACAGACGACACACGACACACAATGTACAACACACATACCACACAACACACAGCACACAAACATTGAACAGAACATACTACACGCGCACACACCACACATCACACACCACACAACACACACACCACGCCACGCACAGCACACAGCACAGCACACAACACACCAACGCACATCACGCAGCACACATCACACAACGCTCAACATCGGCCACAGACCACACAGCACGCAATCCGCAACACACAACACACACCACGCAACACACAGCACGCAACACAGCACACAACACACAACACACAACACACACCACACAACGCACCATCCACAATATGCAACACACACCACACGCCACACAACACACATCACGCAGCACACAGCACGCATCACACAGCACACAGCACACTTCACATAGCACACACCACACAACACACAGCACACAACACACAACATATAACACACAGTACACAATTAAACCACAACACATGACACACAGCACACAGCACACAGCACACAACACACAACACACAACAGAGCCCACACCACACAACGCACAACACAACGCACAACACACAGCACACACCACACAACGCACAATACAGCACGCACAGCGCACGACACAACACACAACGCACTACACACAACGCACCAGCCACAACATACAACACAGCACACACCACACAACACACATCACGCAGCACACAGCACGCAGCACAGCACACAGCCCACAGCACACAACACACAGCACACAACACACAACACACAACACACAGCACACAATCAACACACAACACACGACACGCAACACGCAGCACACAACACACAACACACAACGCAGCCCACACCGCACAGCGCACAACACACAACGCACAACACACAGCACAGAATTCACACAGCACAGCACACAACACACAACACACAACACACAATAAACAACACACAGCACACAACACACAACACACCACACATCACACCACACAGCACACATCACACAACACACCACACACAACACACAACACACACCACACAACACACACCACACAACACACAGCACACACCACACAACACACAACACACAACATACACCACACAACGCACAACACGCAACACACAACATCACACACAACACAGAACACACAGCGCACGGCACACAACAAACAACAAACAACGCACACCACACAGCACACAACACACAACACACAAACATAACATACACAACACACACACATCACGCACACGCGCACACACGCAGACGCACACGCACACGGACTCGCACGCGCAAACGCACACGCACACACACCCGCACACGCACACGCGCACGCAAACGCACACGCACACACTCACGCACACGCACCCGCACACGCACACGCACACGCACATGCACACGCACACGTACACGCACTCGCACGCGCACGCGCACGCGCACGCGCACACGCACACACGCGCGCGCACGCACGCGCACGCGCAACGCGCGCGCACACGCACACGCACGCGCACACGCACACGCACACGCTCACGCACACGCACACGCACATGCAAGCGCACGCACACACGCACGCGCACACGCACACGCGCACGCACACGCATACGCACACGCACGCGCACACGCACACGCGCACGCACACGCACACGCACACAACAGACAACAGGCAACACACAACACACAACGCACAACACACAACACACAACACACAGCACACGACACACAACACACGACACACAACACAGATCATGCAACACACAACACACATAACACACAACACACACAACACACAACTCACTCACAACACACACGCACCACACTCAAGACAGACAACACAGACCACACACTTCTTTTTTGCGCCGGTGGCTAGGCAGAGTCACTGCGCTGGCGAAAGCGGCGTCGGTGGGAGGCACGGAACGCGAATTGGGCCACCATGCAGGGAGGGGAGGGAGGCGGCGCCCGGCGGCGGCGCACAAACACACACGCACACACGCACACACGCACGCACGCACACAACGCACG